TACAGTAACAATCACCAATATGAAATATTCAACCTTCAGTCATCATAAACTTCTTTTGAACTTTTGTGAAGAGTTGGGCCTTCTAGAGTGTTTACAGGCTAAAACTTTAACGCGTTTTTAAGGGCAATAACTCATACTAAATATTTTTCGATTTTTCTGATTTTCGATAGGGTCATCCTTGGTTGACAGAAAACTCTCAAACCAGGTCATGTCAAAATCTGTCAATAATTGATCCTTCTAGAGTATTTAGAAGCTAAAAATTGAACGCGTTTTCAAAAACAAGGGCAATAACTGATACTAATTATTTTTCGATTTTAGGGTTCATCCTTGGGTGATTAAAAACACTCCACACCAAGTTTCGTCAAAAACCGTGAAAGATTGCGCCTTCTAGAGAGTTTACGAGCATTTCAAGAACAAGGGCAATGACTCATACTAAATATTTCCGATTTTTCTGATTTTCAATAGGTTTCATCCTTGGATGACTACAAACAACCACACCAAGTTTCGTCGAAATCAGTTCAGAATTGTGCCTTGTAGAGTGTTTACGAGCAATTGTGGACGGACGGACGGACCGACGGACGGTCATGGGTGACGACAATATAACACAAACTCACCAAGCAAATCTGGTCAATTGCTTCCTTTCTTCACAATGTTAACTTTAGAAAACTATTGGTAACAGTTGAATCTGCAAAAGTAATTAACAGTGTTAAACAAACTTGGCTATAAAGGAACATTAATACCAACTGCCCTATACCAATACGGCTCATTAAATTGAAGGGGAAATCTACTGCTATAGACAAAATGTGTCTGGGCAAGAGGGTTAATCACACCCACCACATGAGAAGGTGATGCACAATTAGTGAGAAGTGAGAAGCGAGATAATGCAAGATGGGAGATTGCTATTCACAATAATAAGATAAGACGATTGCAAAGAATAAAGGGGTAGGGCTAATCACACCCACCGCATGAAAAAGGGCGATATGCATAGGAGACCACAGGTGGGCTATTCACCTCCTACATGAGAAAGGGCCGTATGCAATCATGAAGAAAGAGCAGGAGGGCCAATCACACCCACCACATGCGAAAAGTTGACATGTAACAAATGCGAAGGGTTTATCACACCCACCGCATGAAAGGGCGGTGTGTAATGAGTTACAAAGGAAGGGGGTTATTCACACATCCCGCACGAGACAAGGCTAAATAATGAAAGATGGAAAGGCTATTCACAACAGATTAGACGATATGTTTAGAATACAGAAGGGAGTAGGGTTAATCACACCCATGAGAAAGGGTGATACGCATAGGAGACCACAGGAGGATTAATCACACCCACCACATGAGAGGGGGCGACATGTAATAAATGAGGAGGTCAATTAAACTCGCCACGTGAGAAGGTGATGCGCAATTGTGAGAAGGGCAGGGAGTTATTCACACAGTCCACAAGAGAAAAGGCGAGATAATGCAAGATGGGAGAGGGCTATTCATAACAATGAGATAAGACAATATGCAAAGAAAAAAGGGAGTAGGGCTAATCACACCCACCGCATGAAAAAAGGGATGGGCTATTCACCCCCCACCCCCAATAAGAAAAGCCCATATGCACCGAGGAGAGGACATGAGGGCTATTCAGACCCCCCGCATGGGAAAAGATGATGCAATGAATGGGGGAGAGGTCAGGGGCTATTCCCCTCCCACATGAGAAAGGGCCATAATATGCAATCATGAGGAAAGAGGAGGAGGGCCAATCACACCCACCACATGCGAAAGGGTGACATGTAATAAATGTGAAGGGTTTATCACACCCACGCATGAGAGGGCGATGTGCAATGAGTTACAAAGGAAGAGAGTTATCCACACACCCCACACGAGACAAGGCTAAATAATGCAAGATGGGAGAAGGCTATTCACAACAGAAAAGACCATATGCTAAGAATACAGATGGGAGTAGGGTTAATCACACCCATGAGAAAGGGTGATATGCTTAGGAGACCACAGGAGGGCTCGACATGGGTGACGACAATATAACACAAACTCACCAAGTAAATCTGGCCTATTGCTTCCTTTCTTCACAGTGTTAACTTAAGAAAACTATTGTTAACAGTTGAATCTGCAAAAGTAATTAACAGTGTTTAACAAACTTGGCTATAAAGGAATATTAATACCCAACTGCCCTCTCCTTCATTAAATACGGCTTAGTTAATTGAAAGGGGAATCTATTCACTCACCACACGAAAAAAGAGGACAGGAGGCGTATTCACCTCCAACATGAGAAAGGGCCATATGCAATCATAAGGAAAGAGCAGGGGGGCCAATCACACCCACCACATGCGAAAGGGTGACACGTAATAAATGAGGGTTAATCACACCCACCGCATGAGAGGGCGATGTGTAATGAGTTACAAAGGAATGGGGTTACTCACACACCCTACATGAGAAAAGGCTAAATAATGCAAGATGGGAGAAGGCTATTCACAACAGATAAGACGATATGCTAAGAATACAGAAGGGAGTAGGGTTAATCACACCCACCGAATGAGAAAGGGCGATATGCATATGCAGGGGGGGGTGGGGGGGGGGGGCTATTCACCTCACACATGAGAGAGGGCGATATGCAATTAATGGGAAAAGAGTGCAGGATCAACAACCACCT